CCACCACCGGCCGCAGTCTGATCAGTCATCTTCCCCGGAGAGTTGTCAGCGCCCGGGGGGAGCCGGGCCTGCCGGGCTCCCTGCACAGCACAGCTATAAGGGCTCGCTGCTGTCACGGCGCCTTGGGGACACGGTGATTTCCACACAGGTTGGAAACGTTACGTGTGGCGGTGCTGGGCGGGTTACGTGTGGCGGTGCTGGGCGCCTGCCCCAAGCGGCTCTGTGCTTGTCTTGTGTGCGTCAGGCATGCCGAGGAACTGTAGTAAGAGACAAGTTTGAGTCCTGAGATTTCTGATCCCTCTGGGGAACAAAGAGCAGAAAGTGACAAAAGTACTTGTGCACCAGGGGGAGGTGTTTCTGTCAGCTGTGTTTGGGATGTGGAGGAGCCAAAAGTCTGTGGAAGCATGAGGCGGGGGGATAGCCAGGCTCCTCCACAGCTACCCTGGTAAAGGCCTTTGGGCACTGAGCGGGGGGTGCTGCAGACAGGAAAAGGCCCCCTGGTTCTTGCCAAGTGCTCAATGTGTTCCAAATATGTGGGGCAAATTGCGTCTTGTTGCGTACCTTCTGCTGTCATTCCCTGAGCATTTACATTAGCCCAGTCTGGTGCTGCTGTGGGAAGGGGCAGCCCTTCTCCTCAGCCTCTTATTCCCGTTCCTGAGTTCTCCCTTTCCTCTGGCCAGTGAAAGTGTTTATGCAGCCCCAGCGTGAACTGGGTTGGGGAACTGCTCTAGGGTAAGACAAACTTGGCAGAAAGCAGTTTTGCTTTGGTTGGCATCTTGATGCGGTACGCACTGCAGCCATGTGGATGCTCACACCAGCACAAAGGCTGGGAGAGCAGAGGGCAAGGAGGCACCTCCACTCTCAGCAGCACGGCCAGGCTTTCCTGGCTCGGAGAAGGATTGAGTAAGGTTTTGTACAAGCGCCCAGCCCGTCAGGTGTTTCTCCTGAGGTACACCTGGCACCCAGCCAGGGCAGCCTTTCACCATCTCTCCCCTGCAGCGGCTCCTGCAGTGCCGACATTAGTGGTGCCAAAACCTGCGTGCCCCTGCACACCTGTGGGCTGAACATCCTGCCTGGCTGCACATTTCCAGATGGCAGAGAGGGGAAAAAGTCTCAGGGATTAGAATAGGTGAATGGGAATAACCTGTGCTTTGCCTGCACTCCTCCAAAACCCCATGGTGCCTGCAGTGGCCTCGGTCTGGCAGCTGGAATTGGGCAGAGCCCCAGCGCTGCTCAGCTCCTGCCTGCTGTTAGGAAAGAACTGTTGGCAAAGCACCTGAGGGAGCCAAGCCCTCAGTAAGGCATGAGAGCAGCAGGCTTCTCCTGGATGAGTGACAGCAGACATGCGACCCTGGCTCTTCCCCTCACCCCGTCTGGGGAGGACGATGATCCTTTCTCAGCCTTCCAGGACCCTTTTTGGAGCTTGCTGTCACCCTGCCCAGCAGTTACCCCATGCCACCCCTTCAGAGGTACAGGAAGAAGGCGATGGAGCTTGGCCTGGCCCTGTACGAAGCAGTCACTGGTTCTCATCTCCCATTCCTCATGGGGTTTTCACCCTAGAGGCAAAAGAAATTCAGCAAAAAAACACTTTCCTGTGTTTGATGAGCCCAGATTAGCTTTCACAGTGCCAGGAAGTGCTTGTAGCTGACCTGTTATGGTCTTGCGCGGGGACTGAGTGGTAGCGTGTGGCTGGCAGCGGCAGCCTGCTGGCATCAGAGGCCCAGCCTTGCAAACCACGGCCACATTTGCCGTTGCTAGGGACCCTTCCCATTCCCTCTGCAGCCAGAGGCGCTGCTGCATCCCAGGGAGACCCAGCGTGTGTAGCAGGTTGGGGATGGCACTGCTCTCCTCCCGTGTTCTTTTAAGCTCTCCAGGGCTGGTGCCAAGCCCTGCTCAGTGTCCCCATCTCCATGTCATTTCGGGCCCCTCTGCCATGGGTGGTGGGAGTTGCCTGTTGCAGGCAGTCAGTGCTCGAGCTTTTTGTTTGGCTTTGGTGGCTCTTGGTTACGAGAGTGGGTTGGCCTGAAGAGAAACTGTTTGGGCGCAGCGCCTGACACGAGATTGGCTTTGCCAGAGCTGAGGGCAGGCAGGACCGCTTTCCTGTCTGGGTTCCCTTTGCAGTTTGTGGCTATGACTCCATCTTTGGCTACTTGTTGCCCTGAGTGTTTCTAGCACACAAACACCCTGGTGATGTGGGGCGGGCAGCGCAGAGCTGCCAATGTGCTCCCTCCAGCTGAGCATTTCCCTTGGAGCTGCCTCCTGCCCTGGCCATGCCCGAGCAGAGCTGTGAGGTCTGTGCTTGGTACACGGGCGGGGGCAGGATGGGGCGTTCCCGAGGGCACGACTTGCCTCCCACAGAAGGCAACAGGCTTGGTGGAGCTGTGCCAGACCAAGGTGCTGTCAGGCTTAGGCGTCAGCTCTGATGCTCTGTGTCCTCAGATGTGAGCAGGGCCAGAGGACGAGGGATGAGGTGTGAATCAGGGTGCTGGGAGCTGCTGCCGGCACCTGGGGGTGGGCAGGATCCATGTGGCTGGGCCCGCTCCCCCGCAGCAAAGCGCTGCAGATGGGTGAGCACTACCAGGGTCAGGGCATGCTGCTGGGGCAGCAAGGGAGGAAGCTTTCCCAGGTCTCTGCTTTCACCGCATCCACGGAGGCATCTCGAGCAGGACCGTTTTCAGGGGGTTGTTCCAGCTGTCCTCTATCGAAGCTGTGAACACCCGAGGGCAAAACTGGAGAGTGAAACTGAGACCAGCCCTTGGGCCAGCAGCTCCCAAACCCTGTAGGGGAGCTGGCTCTGCCTGGGAGGACATGTCTAAGGGGGCAGGGGTGAGCGCCCTGCCTGCCCTGCCCTCTCCCTGGGGCAGAAGGAGTGGAGGTGTCCTGTTTCCAGGCCAGGCCCTGCTGGCGCTGTCTGTAAACCAGTGGAGAGATGAATATGCAAGGTGCAGTTGTGCTGGTTAAGCTCCCAGCTGGTGGGCGGAGGGGGAGGAACTCTCCTCTTGCCAGGGAGCTCTGCTCTCATCTGTCACAGGAGGCTGTCCTGGGCTTGCTCCTGCTTCTCCCCTTTCTTCCTTCTTAGGGCGTTACTCGCTCCTGTTCCCGCCCTTTTGCATGGGGCACTGTTTGAAATAGCTGCTGGCCCAAGCTGTCAGGCGAGCTGCCCCAGTTGACCCTGGAGGTTCTATTTTGCAGATCAGGGCCTCCTCGGGTCCTCACCCTGGGCTCTGCCTCCGGCTGTTGTTAGTGCCGGCGGCTCCTCCGGGCCGGTGTTGCTGTAGTGGGAGCCATGAGCATGACAATTGCTTTCCAGGTTTTTAATGTGTGCCACATACAGAAGACCCCCGGTTGTATCTTGGGAGCTCTGACAAGCCCGTGCTTTTGGCAGTAAGCATTGTAACAACTGTCATGAGGTAGGTTTCCTCACCAAGAGCTCCGTGGGGCTTCCCGTAAACACTGCAGTGAAGGTCATGTGAGGGCACTGGCCCTGAGAGGGCCTGGTGCTGGGGCAGAGAGCAGATCATGATGCTGTTGGGCCTTCTCCACCCGCTCCTCCTGCCACACTCGCTCTCTCCTCTCTTTAGGCCACTAGTTCCTTGACAGAGAGTTTGACCACAGAGAGTCGCCAAGATAGCTGGGCCAGGAAGAAAACGTCGCACCCCTGACCCAGACTCCATTACCGACCCCGGTGGGCCGTTTGTGTCCTCCAAACGGCTGAAAATGTCCAGCAGCACCAATGCCCCTGGCCAGAGGAGAGTGTCTCGGGGCTTGGACGATGCCACCAACAAGAAGAAGCAGAAGGATCGAGCTAACCAGGAGAGCAGGGAAGGTGAGAGCCCCTTGGCAGCGCTGCAGCGAGCAGGCCCGTGGTTTCTCAGCACCGCAGGGTGGGAGCCTCACAGCCATCTGCTGCAGGATAAGCAGATTTAACTAATCGCTTCCTGCAGCTGATGGTAACCTGTGTGATGTGGGATCCTCTTCGGCACAGTGTCCTCCCTGGACCTGTAACCTCCTTCCTTCAGGCACTACTTAGCCCCAGCTATGTGAGGAAGGTCGGGCCTGTGGCCTTGTTAGCTTAAGCCTGAAGCTGGCCTCAGTGGTTGTTTCTAGACTCTGCTTTTGGCTGGGACTGAGCTGCCCCGATCCAGAGGGAGTGGGACTGAAGCCTGCGGGTGCTTTTGCAGCTGGAGGTGGTGCTGCTTCCCCGTCGGTTTGCCGAGGCCAGATGCTGTAAGGCAGCGACCAGCGCTTGCTGAGTGCTGGGCCTGCGGGTGAGGCTGGTGCTTTCGCTTCTGTGTCAGGGCAAGGTGTGGCACAAGTGAAACAGTTGCTGTGGAGTAATTCCCCCTGTAGCTGCTGTGTATCCAATGATGAAAATGATGCTTCAGGTGCAGGGAATGCCTGTGGGCAGGATGCAGGCAAGAGTTCCTGTGGCCCTGGAAAATTGCTTGATTTCTGTGCCTGCCCCATTATGATTGTTTTAACCTCAAAATCACAGTGTTTTATAGGCCAAGGTAAACGAGTGCTTGCTGAGGTCTGCGCTGGAACAGCCAGCTGCAGTCCCTGATGCGAAATCCCGCGGTGCAGAAGGCACAGAACTGTGTTTTCTCTTAGGTGGGAGGTGTGCCGTATCCCTGGTAAGGCCTGACCCTCCGCGCCTCCTGATGTGGGGGGCTCCTGCCTTGCCAGGGGCTGCGGTGCTGCTGTGCTACCTCTGTCCCCTCTGTGCAGGGGTGGCGAGGGGCTGGAGCAAGCTGTAGATCCTCCAGGCAGTGCCACTGCGGCACTTCTCACACCGCCAGCCCCACCGGTGCCTGCGCACCAGCAACTGCAGTGGTCAGCAGAGGTTTCCTACTGATTTGTAGCCAAGGGAGGCAATGACAGCCCTCTGAGCACTCTAGGGTGGAGACCACACCTCCCATCACCACTGTTTTTCTGCTCCGGGACAAGGTGCTGTTGCTTTGAGCCCCTTGCCTGGCAGAGCTCACTGCCCTGTGGGGGTGGAGCAGACCCTGAGACGCTTCTGTCTGTCGGAGGTAATCCTGCAGGGAGTGGGGATTAGGTGTCAAGTCAGTTTTGTTCCTCAGCCTGGTCTGGAAGGAGGTTTTGGCCATGGACATTGGCAGCTTGCGCAGGAATGGGAATGTTAAAGTGCAGCTGGGCCACGTGGTTCTCCCATTACAGCAGAATTGGTTTGAGCACGCCCAAACATCAGGTTCTCCCTGTCAGATCAAGGCAGGACTCCTCTGTATGGCTGGAGACTGAGGGTCTAGTGTGCTGAGCAGGGCATACAGCCTGGTTACCGCAAGGTCCACACTGAGACATGCCTCAAAGCAGCGCTGTTTGCGTGGTGCAGTAACGTGTTGTTCCCACAGTGGTGCTGGTTAGACTGGGATATGGTGGTGTGGCCCAGAGCAGCTGTCCTGGGGGAACTGACTTGCTGTGGTGCTGCAGGGAGGGCTCCGGGGAAGGGAGAGGTATGAGGAAGCAGAAGAGGGAAACAAGCAGCACATGCAGGATGAAAGGCCTGGACAGAGGTTCAGGGGAGAAGAAGATGATGTGTGAAATTTTGGCCATCAGTGTGCCAGCCCATGCTTTGAGGTGACAGAATGACAGACCTGCCTGCGCTTTGCTTCTCTGCCCACCAGTGTCTCGCCCTGAGCTCAAGCAGGCTGAGACTGCCCAGGAGAAGGACTCAGAGGAGGGTAAGTCGAGGTGTGCGCCAGCTGTCAGTGCATGGCCATGGAGTGCCCGTGCCGAGGGATCTGAAACTCTCACCTCGTCATTGTCGCGTGCTCCAGCATTGAGCAGATCTAACCCAAGTGCTCGTTGCCACAGCGTTTGTCTTATCAGGATGTGGCCTTCCCAGGGGCGGAGGAGGGTGCACGTGGCTGGGAAGGGCTGTCTGCAAGGAAGAGGCCCTGGGCACATGGCAAGCTGCTTCCGACTCAGGTGTCACGGTGCCACTGAGCACAGCCCTGGGATGCCTTGCCACTGGCATCTGTCCTGCTTGTTTCTGAGCTGGGAGTCGTGCTGGATTGGGAAGATCCCAAGCCGTGTCACCCAGTGGGCACTGTTGGCTGGTTTCTGCTTTGGTCCCGGCCTGCTTTGATGACAGAGTAGGGCATCCTTGTGCCACAGAGGGTAGAACAAACCTGACTGGAATCACTTTTTTGCCTTGAAGACTTCAGGACACCATAGGGCCAGACCTGGAGTCTGGCAGGCACCCGGTGGAGGTTCTGCCTGCTGCAGAGTGACAGTGCTGCGCTGTTTTCTCCCTGAGTGCAGCGTTCTTGCACGGCTGGTGGCCCTGCCTGTGTTTCATCTGTGTTAGCAGTGCTCACCTGACAGGGGTACAGTGCTTTGGTGAGTGCAGCTGGGCTGCTTGGTTTGCATATGCAAAGGGGAAGTGGCAATTTCTGATTGTGGTCAGAGTCCACTTGAATCCCCCAGAGTAATTCTGTGGCTTCCTCGCTCCCTGGGAAAGCAGCAATTACTTTGTAGTTGGCAGGAGCCACCCCTTCTTCCCAGCCGCCGCTGCTGCACGTGACGGGGCCAAGAGCAGCGGCTGCCTTTCTGATCTCTCCAGTTCCCACCGGGATTTACCTGCCCTGCCACAACATGTGCTCTTGTTTGTGGCCTGTCTGATGGGAGCAGGTTGCGAGTGTCCCATTCAGTCGGCATGATCTGTGTCCCCTGCGTTGACCTCCTTGAATCGAGTGTGCGTTCAGGCTTGCGTTCCCCAGCCAAGGAGTGGGCACTGCAGGCTCATGCCCCAGCGAGTGGGTGACGTTTCCCTGCCTCTTCCTAGAGCTGCTGCTGGACTGGAAGCAGAATGCTGATGAGATCATTGTCAAGCTGAACTTGGGCAGCGGCGCTCTGAAAGTGGAGGATGTAGATGCTGCTTTCACCGACACGGATTGTGTGGTCAAACTACCAGGTATGGGGAATGGGGCGACTGCTGCAGACATTTCTCTGACGGGGCTTGGCAGAGCTCTGGGCTAGATGTGGGGCTGATCCAGGCAGGCATAAAACCTTTCCTTCAGAGGCAATGCCCTGCTGTCAGCTGGCACAGCTTCAGCCAGCAGGCAGGGCTGATACAAGAGCAGTGTAAAAGAAGAAGGGTGGAAGCTGAGGAGGGCAGGAGCTGGCCTCTGCACTAGGTGAACAAGCACACGCTGTTGCGCTGGTGCATCTCTGTCCTCAGCTCGCTGGGATGACTGAGTCCCAGCCCTGGGTATCCCTTGAAAAAGCGACTGTGCCCCTCGGGGCAGAGAAGCCCAGGGCCTTCCCTCTGGGAAGGAGGCCAGCCAGATGTACAAAGCAAATCCAGGGAAGCTGGCATTACCCTGAAGGCTCCTGGGGTATGGTGGCAGCCTGCCTGAAGCCTCCTTGGCTCTGGATGAGTGCTCCCTTGATCCCTGGGGCAGGTGAAAGGGGGTTGTGCATTAGGTGACAGCTACTTGGAGCGCTGCCTGAGGTGCCGGTTCCCCTCTGCTTGCAGACGGGCGCCAGTGGAGCTGTCAGTTCTACGAGGAGATTGAGAGCTCATGCAGCAAAGTCCAGTGCAAGAAGGGCAATTTTCTACAGCTTGTGCTGCAGAAGAAGATCCCACTGCATACCTGGTCTTCACTTCTGGTGAGGAGGGGAGGATCTGCTTTTTGAGGGAGCTTATGGAGCCTGGGGACCTGGGGTGAGAGTTTTACTCCCTGGTCTTGAGCTGCTGAGGGAGCAATGTAGGGCACATCCTGTGTCCACTTGCTGCCTGAGGGCAGTGAGCCAGCCACCTCTGTCCCAGGGAGAGGAGGGGTGTCATCGTACCCCCGTTCCTGCTTGCCACGTAGCCTCCAGGTTCTGAAGCAGAGCCTTAGCACGTTCTGGGAAGGGGGAGTGAGGGTGAGGGGCTGGCAAAGCACATGAGAGGTGCTGCTGACTGGATACCTTCCCACTGTGCTGCACTGCTTTTCACAGAAGAGAAGGAAAGACGGATCCAAAGAGCTGGCCAAAGGGGCTGCATGCTGGGAGAACGGGAAGGAAAAGGCTGCTTCTGCAGAACTGGCCCCTGAAGAGCCCAGGGCTGAAGGTGCAGAGCTGCCAAGGTCCCGGCGGGAGCCCTCCAACCCCAAGCGTGCTCCGGGAAGAAGCGAGGCCCTGGGAGGAAAAAGCCCAGCCAGCCCAGGGATGCAGAGCGGCCCCAGTGCCAAGCGGGCAGTATACGTCAAAGTGGCTCCCACTGAAGAGGAGCCAAATGCCAGAGTCACTGGGAGCGTGGAGCCCAGCAAAGGGCACAGCGGGAGGGCAGGCAGCCGCCGCAATGGCAGAGCCAACCAGATCGATGCACCGACAGCCATTGCAGACCTTGCACCGCCACTGGAGAAGGTACCCCTGCTCCCTCATGGAGGGGCCCATCCTTGCCAATGAGATGGGCTTTCAGGGTCCTGCAGGTGATGCTGAGGGCTGGTGTGGGTTGGCTGTGGTGGAGGAGAGGGCGATGTGAGGACCCCGTGGTTGCTGGGCTGAGCACGTGCTCTGGTGCTAATGAGGCTGAGCTGAACGTGGAATGTGTGGGGAAAGCGCGCGGTGTGGGGCTGTGCCTGCTTGGCTGACCAGAGTGACAGCGAGTGGGCCAGGGCAGCTCAGGGGTGGCGGTGTCTGTTTTTTTACTCTGTCCCTCTGTCTTGAAAGGCTGTGGTTTTGGCCAAGGAGACTGTTCCCGTGGAGATACCACCTCTTGCGACTACCACAGAGGTCTTTCCCCACCGTGTTGCCACCTGCTTGGAGAAGAGAGTCTTGCAGCCAGGCAGCCCTGCTGAGGCCTTGCGGGGCCGGGACTGCACGTCTGTTCTGGGAGAGACCTCTAAGGCTGTCCCAGTGGCCACTCCTCCCCTGGGCAGAGACGGTGAGAAAAGGGACTGGTCCAAGGACGACGTGGCTCTGGAAGCAGCAGCTGATGGTGAGTGGCTGGAGCCCAGGGGCTGGCCCAGTCGGGAAGGTCCGTCTGCTCAGGACCTCTCCTGGGTCAGCCTGCAACCCTGCCTCGGTGTGAAAGGAAGGTAATATCTCTCTCCATGGCTTTCCTCACTCAGAGCCAGAGCCTTTTGTGAGCCTGACCTTCGTCAAGAATGACTCATATGAGAAGGGCAATGACTTGGTGGTGGTACACGTCTACGTGAAAGAGATCCACAAGGAGACATCCAGGGTGTTGTTCCGGGAGCAGGACTTCACGCTGGTGTTCCAGACAAGGTACACGTGTGTCTCACGATGGTGCCAGGCTGCTGTGGAGCTCCTGGCTGTGTCTGGGCTACTTGTTCGTTCACCTCTTCTCACTTGCTTTCAATTTCTTTGCAGCGACACAAACTTCCTCCGCCTCCATCCTGGCTGTGGGCCCCACACAGTGTTCCGGTGGCAGGTGAAGCTCAGGTACAGCTCCTGCCCTCCCAGCCTGCACCAGGGCAAGGGAGCTGAGAGCGCAGAACTGGAGCAGGAGCCAGTCCCGGCTGGTGGGGCTGTGCAGGGCATGCTCATTTCTGCACCTGGGGGTCTCCCTTACACCAGGCTGCACTAATGCCCCAAGACTGGGCTGCCTTGGCTCAGTCTGGTGGCTCGCAGGGGTGGAAATCCCAGTGCCTCCTGCCTGCGGTCTTCCCCCAGCTGTCCTAGAGCTCTTGGGGACAGAGCTGAACCAGCCTGTATGCATTTTGGGTGGGATGTCCAGTGGGAGGGGGCACGTGGAGCCAAGCAGAATGGATCTGCCAGGAAAGGGGCACTCTGTGCTCAGTGTGGCCAGACTCAAGGGTTTCTGCTCTGCTTTGCCAGGGCCACCTCGGGATTGGTGCTGGCTTGGGTCCCTGCTGCCTGGAGGCCATGACCCTGCCTTGCAGAGGCTTTGGCATGTCTGAGGTTGCTGGGGGGTCTGGGGCACCTGACATGCTGCGTGTTTTGCAGGAACCTTATTGAGCCAGACCAGTGCACATACAACTTCACGGTGTCTCGCATCGATGTCTGCCTGAAGAAACGCCAGAGCCAGCGCTGGGGGGGGCTGGAGGCTCCAGCCACACGAGGTCTGCACCCTGCCTTCTCCTTGTCTTGCCTGCCTGCTGCACCCCAGTGGGGCATGGTCCCTCCTCACTGCCGGCAGCGGCCAGATGGTGCCGGATCCTCTGGCGTGGGATTGTGGGGAAGGAGAGCGGCTGAGCGGGTGCAGGCAGGAGGGGTGTGGGGCAGGGTGAGCCCAGCGCTAGGGAAAGGGCACTGCTGTTCCCCTTGCTTACGGGGAAGAGGGGTAGGAGAGAGCCTGTGTGTGAGCATGGACTGAGCAGCTCAGCCCTGCCATGGGCAGAGCGCGGTGCTGCTAACCACAGGCCCACCCTTCCCCCTTTTTAAGGTGCAGTGGGTGGTGCAAAGGTTGCCATGCCTACAGGCCCTACCCCTCTGGACAAGAACCCCCCAGGCAGTAACCAGCACCCCCTGTCCAACAAGGAGGAGGCCCGAGGCAGTGACAAAGAGAAGCCACGTGTGGAAGATGGGGGTCTGGATGGCGTGGCAGCCCGTACGGCCCCAGAGCACGTGGCAGTGAAGCAAGAGCCGCACATCCCCTCGGTGAGTGGGGACACACTGGATTTGATGGGGGTGGGCCCACTTGTCCTTCTCTTGGGACCTCACCTCCTTGTGTTGCTCTGGGGACTGGCAAACTGTCCTGGAGGAGGAGGCAGTGCCTCTCAGTCATAGCTGGCAGGACTGGGGGCAGCGGTTGGCCTGTCTGTCCCAGTCCTGCTGGGAGATGGCATGGTGACTCCAGTCTAGCTGTGTCTGAGGGGTGCCTTGGGCTTTTGGGTTCCCCTGGTAGTCCCAGAGAGACCCCCCCAAGCATAGCACCCTCACACCCACCTCTGCTTTGGCAGCCTAAACCGACATGCATGGTGCCACCAATGACACATAGCCCTGTGAGCACCGAAAGCGTGGAGGATGATGAGGATGAGGATGAGAAGAAGAAAGTGTGCCTGCCTGGCTTCACGGGGCTGGTGAACTTGGGCAACACCTGCTTCATGAACAGCGTCATCCAGTCCCTGTCCAACACCCGGGAGCTGCGCGACTATTTCCATGGTAAGCCCATGCCGGGAGCCTGGCAGAACCCTGCCGCTCGGACGGTGCCGCCAGCGGCCACGCTCTCTCTCCTGCATCTCTTACAGATCGATCCTTTGAGTCGGAAATCAACTACAACAACCCGCTGGGGACGGGGGGACGCCTGGCCATTGGCTTTGCCATGCTGCTGCGAGCGCTGTGGAAGGGCACGCACCATGCCTTCCAGCCCTCTAAACTGAAGGTAGGGCCGCAGGCTGTGAGTCCCCAGCACTCCTCTGTGGGCACCTGGCTGCCCTGCCAGTGCCACTGAGAGCTAGTGGGCGTGGGTGGGCGCAGCCAGGCTTTGTGCATGGGACAGGCGGTGCTGCCAGGGGGCTGCTGGCCAGCCCTGACGACTCTGCTCCCCCAGGCAATCGTGGCCAGCAAGGCCAGCCAGTTCACTGGCCAGGAGTTCATGGCCTTCCTGCTCGATGGCTTGCATGAGGACCTCAACCGGATCCAGAACAAGCCCTACACAGAGACCGTTGACTCAGATGGGAGGCCTGATGAGGTGAGGGTGTCCCTCCCCAAAACCACCGCGAGAGCAGCCCTGGCCCGGGTGATTGTTTAGCGTAGTGCTGAGTCCTTTCTCCCCGCAGGTGGTAGCTGAGGAGGCCTGGCAGCGACACAAAATGAGAAACGACTCTTTCATTGTGGACCTCTTCCAGGGCCAGTACAAATCCAAGCTGGTGTGCCCAGTGTGTTCCAAGGTAGCGCAGCCCTGGAGGCTCTGTCCCTGTCCTGGCTGTGTGGCAGCAGGCTCCTGACCCTGAGAGAGCACAGGTCACAGGGCACGGCTGGATCTTGGGGCTGCTCCCTCGCTGATCTCAGCCACAACCACTTCCCACAACTGAGTGTGCTGTCACGTCCACAGGTTTCCATCACCTTTGACCCCTTCCTGTACCTCCCCGTGCCCCTCCCGCAGAAGCAGAAGGTGCTGACTGTCTACTACTTTGCAAAGGAGCCGCACAAGAAACCCATCAAGGTAAAGGACACCATCTACTCCAGGGTGGTAGCCTGAGAGGGCTCCCGGAGGTGCCCCTGGCAGCTGGTCACGTGCCAGCAGGCTGAGCTTTGTGTTAAGTGAGGGCTCCCATGCCTCGGTGTGGTGTGACTGATGTGGTGCTTTCACTTTCTTGTTGGTAGTTCCTTGTGAGTATCAGCAAGGAGAACTCCAGTGCCATGGAGGTACTTGACTCAGTGGCCCACAGTGTACACGTGAAACCAGAGAACCTGCGCCTGGCAGAGGTGAGAGTGCTCAAGCAGGGGAACAAGCCATGGACTGCTCTTGTCCATCCTCCTCCGGGGGGGGGTGGTGAGCTGAGCACAGCATCCCTGTGGTGCTGCTATCCTTGCAGCTCACTGTGGGGCTGAGGTCTGTGGCTTTCTCAGGAGAGGAAGCGTGGAGCAGCCCTCGCACAGCCCCACTCCACTGCTTTCCTGGCAGGTGATTAAGAATCGCTTCCACCGTATGTTCCTGCCATCCAACTCGCTGGACACGGTCTCCCCCACGGACCTGCTGCTCTGCTTTGAGGTGCTGTCCCCAGAGCTGGCTAAGGAGCGGGTGGTGGAGCTGCAGGTCCAGCAGGTAAGAGGGGATATCGGGACTTCTGGGAGGCATGCGGGGGGAGGCTGAGCCAGCCAGTGGGGCTAAGCAGGAGGGGGAGAGCTGCACACAAGGGTGACTAGCTGCAGCAAGCACGGATGTCCACTGAGGCTGCCTTGTCCAGCCCGGGTACCCTTCCTTGCCCAATGGGTCCTTTCTCCTGCAGCGTCCACAGGTGCCTAGCGGCCCTGTCGCCAAGTGTGCGGCCTGCCAGAAGAAGCAGCTGCCGGAGGATGAGAAGCTCAGGCGCTGCACGAGGTGCTATCGAGTCGGTTACTGCAACGTGTGAGTTGGCTTGGTGCCTGCTGGGGAGGGAGGGTCTCCTGCACTGAAGGGCTAGATGGGAGGGCTCAGCTGTATGGGATGGGCCTGGCCTTTGGGAGGGAGCCAGCCTGGCTCGAAGCGCTCCCTTCATCCCCAACACACCCCTCCAGCCCTGCCACGCTCCTGCCCAGGTTGGTCGCAGATGCTGGGTTCACCTCTGGCTCTATGTGTTACAGGGCATGTCAGAAAACACACTGGCCAGACCACAAGGCTTTGTGCCGCCCCGAGAACATTGGTTTCCCCTTCCTCATCAGTGTACCAGAATCCCGTCTCACCTACGCCCGCCTGGCTCAGCTGCTGGAGGGCTACGCAAGGTGAGGGTCCGGGGAAGGGGGGTGCTTCTGCCCCAGAGCTGAGCTCAGCCCTGTGCCTGGCCGGCTCTGACTGCCACCTCCTTGCCCAGGTACTCTGTCAGCGTGTTCCAGCCTCCGTTCCAGCTGGGCCGGATGTCACCGGAGCAGGGGCTGCAGCCTCTGCTCCCGGACAAGCTGGAGCCCCTGGCCCAGAGCAGCTGTGCAGCAGCCACCTCTGCCCCTGAACCGGGGGATGGGGACAGAGCTTCCAGCTTCCTGCAGGAGCCCCCACTCTCGCCAGCTGTGCCTGAGCTGCACCCAGAGCCAGGGGACACCGGCACAGTCCGGAGCAAGGTTCTGGCAGCAAGGAGTTCCCTCTTGAGTTTGGATTCAGGCTTCTCCGAGCACATGGAGTCGCAGGGCGACAGCTGTTGCGAGAAGGAGCCGTCCTATGAGAGAGCCCTCAAGCCAGAAGGTAAGAGGTGCTGCGGTGCTAACTGCGTCTGTGCCAGGAACCTGGGCAGCCCCAAGACAAAACAGGAGCAATTCTCCCTCCTTGGGATGACCTCCCACCACAGCATCTGTTCTACTCTTGTGAGCTTGGTCCAAAGACCTCAGGGACATACACAGGGTGCTGGGAGCTGTCTTTTGGCAGTGCTGCCCCACCTGAAATGCCTGCCTGCCCACACTCTGCTTTGCCCTGGCAGCACCCATGGGACAGAGCAGAGACCTGACTAGGAAAGAGGCTGGAGAGTTGTGGTGTTGTGGGAGGAGGGGTGGGAAGGCAGAAGCCTCCAAGTCCCGTGGGAGGGCAGAGCCCAGCGTGGACTAACCCCCTCGGGGCTGTGAGCGCAGCGTTTCCCTCACTCTGACTCAGCTGCACGGGAGCAGCCTCGTACTCAGCTGCCTGGCTGTCACGTTTCCAGACACTCGTCTCAGGATGGCAGCAATGTGCAGCGAAGGGGCAAGGCAGACAGAGGAGCGCAGCTTGCCAGGGGCAGGCGCCTGCTAAAAATAGTCAAGGACACGGGGCACGTGGTTGTGTCCCTGCAACGCCGTAACATGTGAGGTGGGGGTGGGGGCACTGCAAATTCTTGGCCCCTACGCAGGGCAGACAGGCAGTGCCACCACAGATCTGTCCCTGCCTGTCCACAGCTGCCATTCCTGGGTACCAACACACTCCAGACTCGCTGAGTGCCCGTGCCACGCAGTTCTACATCAACAAGATCGATGCTGCCAACCGTGAGCACAAGCTGGAAGATAAAGGTGAGCTCAGAGCCCCGGAAAGGGCTGCCTTCATCCCTGGCAGCCTCTGGCAGGGTGATGGATCTGCCTGGCCAGGGTGCTAGAGGCTGCCTGGCACAAGGTGAACCCAGGTGTGACAATGGCCCCAGGCTGGATGGTGGAAGCTGCGTCTGGCATAGGGGAGGGCAGGGCTCTGCTGCACAGAGCTGCCATCTGACACCCTGGGGTGACAAACCTGGCTGTGGAGGTGTCCCATAGGGGCACTTGTCCTCTCCTGGCAGCACTGTGTGACTGCTGTATCGAGCTGGAACAAGCAGGACTGCTCCTAGCCCTGACAAGGTGGTCTGGCCTAGCCCAGTGGGGCAGGTGTGTGAGGTGTGCGCCCCTTTGCAGGTGACACCCCCCTGGAGCTGACAGATGACTGCTCCCTCGCCCTGGTATGGAAGAACAACGAGCGCCTCAAGGAGTTTGTGTTGGTGGAGTCCAAGGAGCTGGAGTGCGTGGAGGACCCAGGCTCGGCCAGCGAAGCAGCCCGGGCTGGTCACTTCACCCTGGAGCAATGCCTCAATCTCTTCACCAAGCCCGAAGTCCTGGCCCCAGAGGAAGCGTGGTGAGGAAGGTGGCAGGGTGGGTTCCAGCCTGTCAGTTCAGGTGGCTGTGGGGGTTTCCCAGGAGCTGCTGGGCCTGTATGCTGTTTCTTCTCGTGGCCAGGAGCATTGGGCTGACCTTCCCTGTGCACTGGGGAGGGAGGCCAGAAGCCAGCAGGGAGCAATGCCAGTGCTCCGCAGGGCTGTGCTGGCCTGTCTCTGGCAGGGATGGCTGAGACCTCCCACCTCCCCTCTGCCAGCCCCACATGTGGGGGACCTTGGGGCTGGGCTGTGAGACCTGGGGCTCTCCCCATGCTGGTAACGAGCGCACTTTTCCCCCAGGTACTGCCCCAAGTGCAAGCAGCACCGTGAGGCCTCCAAGCAGCTGATGCTGTGGCGCCTGCCCAACGTCCTCATCATCCAGCTCAAGCGCTTCTCATTCCGCAGCTTTATTTGGAGGGACAAGATCAATGACATGGTGGACTTCCCCGTCCGGTGAGAGCTTGGGGGAACGAAGGGCCTGAGCTGGCACTGCTGCTGCCTGGCCTCTCCCTGCCTAAGGCTGACCGCCCTGACTGTCTCCGTGTCTCTCCCCAGGAGCCTGGACCTGAGCAAGTTCTGCATTGGCCGGAAGGGCGAGCAGCAGCTGCCCATGTATGACCTGTACGCTGTGATCAACCACTATGGAGGCATGATTGGGGGGCACTACACAGCGTACGCCCGCCTGCCCAACGACAAGAACAGCCAGCGCAGCGACGTGGGTGAGGATCTACCAGCCTCGCCGCCCGTCTCTCCTGCAGCTGTGGCCTGTCTGCTTGCTTAACCCTTCTCTCCTCTCAGGCTGGCGGCTCTTTGACGACAGTACGGTCACCACTGTGGATGAGAGCCAGGTGGTAACCAGATACGCGTATGTCCTCTTCTACCGCCGGAGGAACTCTCCTGTGGAGAGACCCCTGCCAGGGCAACCCCCAGACCACCGAGCCGAGCACACCCCCTCTGCCGAAGCTGCTGCCAGCCAGGTGAGAGCTTGCGTCTCTTCCGGCACTGTTGGAGCCGGAAGACTCTTAAAACGTGCTTGCACGTCAGGCCTGGCCTGCCTCTGCCAGCACCCACGGAGCCTGGTGCAGCTGCGGTGTGGTGCCTGCCCCTCTTCGACAGGCTGGATGTTGGGGCTTGTCTTCCCCTGTTCTTGCTGTGCTCTTGGGACGGTCCCTGCCCTGAGGGACTACGGGAGGGCTGGTTCCCTCATTAGGGTGGGAGGGCACTGGAGGAAGCAGGAGGGGGCCCTCCGGGGTCTGCACCGAGGAAGGCTGTGCGGTGTTTGGTGGTGCCGGGAGGGGGGGGCACCTGCCCCCCGCCGCCGCTCTCAAGGCAGGGTGGGGGATGCTTTCTGCTGGGGCCCAGCTCGGGGCCAAGCTAGGTGCAAAAAAGGCAAATGCCAGTGCTGAGCCAGAGGCCTGGCAGCCTTTTTAGGGTGCTGAAGAGAAACCTGCCAGAGCGAGCTCTGCTGCCGGGCTGCCCGGGAGGGGTGGGCCAGCCGGCAGGGTGCTTTCGGCATGCACCGGCAGGGAATGGTTGGGCTGATCTTTGTGCGAACATCAGAAATGAAGGCCCACGTTGGGGCACGGTGCAGCACTCGCCTAGCCAGCCCCTCTGTGTTGCTGTGCTGCAGCCATTCCCTCCGCGCTTGGCACCCCCATGGTCCCATGAGATCTGAGGACGATGCTTATCCCATCTCTAGCACAGCTGCATGCGTGTGCCCTGTGGGGCCCTTCTGGCCTGGTCTCCCAGCCTGTCTGGCTTGTGCAGCTCTCGTCCTGGTGCTGGTGAGGCATCCCGGCTCTGCCCTTTCAGCCGGGGCCAGGAGCTGCCTGTCTCTGGGCCCAGCGTGTGTCTGGCATGTTGGTGTCCACCTGCCTTGGGCTGTTCCTATCCTGGGGGGCTGTGCATGCCCTGGAGCAGCCCCGCTTCCTGAGGGTGGCCTGGGCAATAGCAAGGCTGCTCTGCTTGTCCCACGCCGGCAGTGGGGAGCCTTCAGGGGCCCCCACAGCACTGGGGGCTTACTTGTATGCCCCACAGCCCTGGGGTTCACTGGGTCCCCTGGGGCTCACCGGGCCCCCAACAGTGCCAGATCCCCCACAGAAATGGGGCTTGCTGGATCCTGCCAGGGCTCAGCAGGTCCCTGAGAGCCTCAGACCACCCACACCCCTCCCGGGCACTGGGTGCCCTCCAGAGACTGTGCC